GCAAGTACTCTTACAGCTTGAGCCACTCTGCCAGCCCTTTTTTGTGATGGGCTTTTTCGACATAGGGTCTCACGAACTATTTGTCTGAGGCTGGCTTCGAACTGCAACCTTCCTGATCTCTGCCTCCTGAGTAGCTAGGATTACAGGCATGTGCCACCGGCACCTGGCACCCAGCCATAAAGGAAGTCTTAATTCAAATTTACAAAGAGTCGTTGTACTATATGTAGCATTCTGTAACTCAACCTCTCCCCACACCTGGATCTCCTGTGTCACACTTCACCGATGGCATTACTGTTTCATTTGTAGGAGCACCAAAGTGGAAACAGCCCAAATGTTTACCAACAGACCCACAGGTAAACTGTTACACATCATCGATAGGAATACAAAATAGTACAGCCACTTTGGCAGTTAAATATACCATATATGATGGTTAACCTTGATGGTCAACTTGCCTGGATTGAGAAGCACCTAGGAGGTGAGTAAAGCACACATATAGGTGTCTGTATAGCTAACGGGGAAGGCCCTTTCTCCCTGAATGTGGGACGCACCATCTCTTAGGCTGGGGTCCTGATGGAACAAAGGAGAAACAGGAAAAGGCCTTCTAGCACATTCTCTGCTTCAATGGAAAAAGGTCACTCTGATGTAAGCTGCCTGCTGTCCTACACCCTCCCTGCCATGACGGACTGAAACTTCTGAAATTGTGCGCAAAAATAAGCCCTTCCTAAACCAGGCACTGTGATGCATGAGTATGATCCCAGCATTCAGGAAGCTGAGGCAGAAGATGGAGTCCACGGCCAGCCTGGGCTCAAACAAAACAAAAAGAAAGAAAACAAATCCTTCTGAATTATGTAATCCTTCTCAGCCATAAAAATTACAAACTACTGATACGTACAGTGTGAGTGCAACTCAAATGCATTATGCTAAGTGAAAGGAGCCAGGTAGAAAAGCTGCATACTATATGGTTAACTTATGTGATCTCGTGGAAAAGGCAGAACTTCAGGCCTAGAAAGCAGATGCTCCCGACCTGTTTAGAAGCACCTGTGGTTGTCTGTACTACCTAGCATACACTTACCATTGCTGTGTTCCTTACTGTAGCAAGAAAGGTGAGGCCAGAAAAGAAACAGGCTGTGTTCTGACAACGAGACAGGGGGAGGGGATGGCAAAGCAAAGAGATAAAATGTAAAGAATTGAAACATGAACGTCACATAGCACTGGGAAAATGAAATAGCCAATAAAGTCACATGCAGCCACATGTGGGTTGAGCCTTGCTCTTTGCTTCTGTAACCTGGTTGCAAGGGTCTGTAAGGTGAGACCCCTTTGTTCTCGGGGCTCAGCCTTTGGACATGAGTCCGCTGGGTCTGTGCCGGCACAATAAGCATTGTTTCCTGCTAATCTGCCTCAGAGACTCGAATCTCAGCTCATAATTTCCTGCAATATTACTATCACCCTTGGCCTAGAGCTCAGTACAGTGGCTGGTACTGGGCTAGCACTCGATAAATTCTTCTTGCTTGCTAGTACTGCCTTTCTCTGGGCCATGTTCTTAGGGAGTGCTTCTGGTACTCTTAAGCACACTTCCCTCTGCAAAGGTTACTTAATCCGGGGGCCAAGAGGATACACCTCCCAAAGCCTACTTTCCCTCTTCTAGTCAAGAGGTGTTCGAGGTACCTGAAGCTCCAGAAGTGAGTGCCCAAATGGCGGCAGGACCTGCATGAGCCTTTCTAATTTCTCCCGGAGGTAGCGCAAGGTGCTAACGTGAGCACAATTACATCTGAAAGATATCCAAGACATGGCTGTTTGCAGGGGTATGAGCAGAACTTGGATGTAGTGGGCCAGGCATGGTGGTGCATGCCTGTAATTCCAGCTATGCTGGAGTTGGAGGTAAGAGGATCTAGGTCTGAGACCAGAAAGGGCAAAAATGCAAGACCCTACCTGAAAATAAAACTAAAAGTATAAAGAGCTGGGGGTGTGGCTCAAGTGGTAGAGCCCTTGTCTAGCAAGTGCGAGGTCCTGAGTTCAAACCCCAGTCCTACCAAAACAAACAAACAAAACCCCAAAAAGCTTGGATGTAGCTTGGTATATCCACGTACTGTGTGCAGGGCCCCTTTCAGGGATGTAGGTAGGAATCAGAAATGGGAGGAGGAGAAGTGAAAAAAGACTGGGGGCTGGCCCTCCCCACACTATCATATTCCAGCTATGTTTCCAGGTCTGACAAGGATTCTAAGAATTCTAAAAGGGAGTCTGGTCTTCTAGGTTATTTTACAGGTCAAAGTAGGAGAACAGAATCTATTTTAGTGAACACTTTGTTACTTGACTTAAAACTTTTAAATATTTAAACAGTGGCTGAGCTTGGTGGCTCACATTTGTAATCTCAGTTACTGAGGAGGTGGAGATTAGGAGGATGGTCTTCAAGCCAGACCCTGCAAGAACTTACTAAGATCTCATCTCAATAAACAAGGCAGGCATGGTGTTTCATGCCTGTGATCCCAGCAATGTGGGAGGCAAAGGTAGGAGGATCGCAGTATGAGGGGGCAAGACTCAAGTGGTAGAGCGCCTGCCTAGCAAGATCAAGGCTCTGAGATCAAATCCAAAATATATACATTATTATATATAATTACATATTATATATATATATACACACTCAAACATATAGTACGTGGGTCTCCATGTGCACTCCTATCCCGGACCTGCAAGGGTTAGGAGCAAGCCTGATCCGGGCAATAAAGATTATAAAAATAGGTGACATGGTTTGTGGCTACCGAGGTGCCCCTTGTGTGTTACGGACTGAGTGGGGCTCCGTGCTCACGTCCCACAGAAGGATGTTCAGTAGTCCAAGCTCCCAGCAGCCTACTTTGTCTCTACTTTGCTCATCTCCCCGCTTTTAGGATTTCCTCGGGTAATAACCTTCTTTCAGTGTTCAACAATCCTAAAAGAAAATCCCCGCCCTTTGCCCCGCTCTCGAGCTAGGAACACACTGCAGGAATGGGCTTATCTCGAATCCACCATCTTCATCACCAGACCTGGAGCTGGGGGAGCTCAAGGGAAACAGAAGCACTGGAGTGCCCACCCCATTGAACTGAGGATGCGGGGGTCCCCAGCTCCCTGGGTGGGAGCGGACAGTGTGCTTCTTGCTTGATTTTCGCTGGGAACTGACAGACGTCCGCAGCCTCCCAGCAAAGGCTCTGCAGGGTTAGCGTGCTGAGGAGACAGTCCCGGACTCCATGGGGTTTCCTCGGTACCCGGGACCCCCGAAGATGCGGGGGCCTGAACCCCTCAGATGCTCCCCCTTGGAGACCAGACTGCAATCCGGAGTCCTGGGGCGCAAGAGCAGCGGCGGGAACCCAGCATGAAAGCCGAAGTTTCGCTTACCTGGCGGAGCGGCTTTGGTAACCTTGGAAACCACAACTTCCGGTTCCGGTCGGAAGTCGGCTGAGCGCCCGTTCTGAAGGCGTTCCGCCCCCACATGGGCGGGGAGAGAGGCCTCGGCCCCGCCCACCCGGTGTGTTCAGCCGATACGGCGTCTCCCCCGGGACCGCGGGGACCACAGTGAGCCCGTGCGACGCGTGGCCTTGGGTTGGGTGCCATGGACGCCTTCACTCGCTTCACCAACCAGACTCAGGGCCGGGACCGATTCTTCAGGTGAGTCAGGTGCCCGCGGCCTTCGTTGCGACTCCGGACGCGGGCACCCGGAGGAGGACGTTAACAGCCCAGGAAATCCAGCACGAAGCACGCTGAGGGAGCTGGGGACCCCCTCACCCTAAGTTCAGTGGGGTGGGCACCCCAGTGCCGCCTTCTCCCAGCTTTCCTGGGAAAGGAAGACTGAGTTCTTGCCGCTTAACTTCCATCCAAGGGATTTCGTTTAGAGAGACTTGGGGTTGAAGTTTGTGGCTCAGGGACGCAAGCCATTTGGTTGTAAAGTGCTTATGGAGAAACGGGTTTTCTTTATCCTCATCTTGCCCGGTCTGTGTCATTGGGATAGTGTGTGTGAAATGGTTTTGTAGACTGGAAAAACACAGTGCAGAAAGTTTTAGGACTAACTGCACCTTCAAGGCACATCCCGTGCCAGTGTCTTGCATACCAAGCCTCCTTCATGTTTCTTTTAAGAGATTTGGTTGGTTCTTGCTCAAGAATCATTTTTTTTTAAAAGTTACTGTTGCAGTTTTGTTTAATAGCTCTGCTCCTCTGCATGTCCAAGTGCTAATCCAAACACAAGAAGAGTCACAATTAGGAGACTTTGGGAAGCCAACTTTTCAGCGTTTTGCAACTATTTAACTTGTTGAACCCTCATCACAACCATATGGGGTAGATACTCTAAATACTCCCATTTCACAGATGAGGAAACCGAAGCAGGAGTTGGTTAGTAGGTACTGAGTGACAGAGCCCAAGAGGCAAATCCACACAGCTGACTCCAGTGTTCACCTCTTAACTACTAAGTCTTTCTAATAATGAATGGTTGCATTAAATGCAGGCTTCATTGAAGTCACAATCTATCATTTCCGTGTGCCCAGAATGTACCCTGATTAAGGAGATTGGTTAATAAAATAATCATTTAGCAAAATCTGAGCTTCTCTACCATTCATTTCCCAGCTCTCTCTCAATGATCTGTATAACCTCCATGAAGAACTGGCATTCCTAAAATAATGCTTCGTTTTCAGACCCATTCCTGTTCTTAGACCAGTCCGGGAAAGGAAAGAACATTGACAGGAGTCACTTGAGCCTTCTACCAGGAAGCATACTTAAAAAAGAGACAGGGCCAGGTGCCAATGGCTCACACCTGTAATCCTAACTACTCAGGAGGCAGAGATCAGGGAGATTGCAATTCAAAGCTAGTCCCCAGACTATCTCAAAAAAATCCATCACACACACACACACACACACAAAAGACTGGCATGGACTGGCTCAAGTGGTAGAACACCTGCCCACCAAAGGTGAGGTCCTGAGTTTAAACCCCAGTACCACGAAAAAAAAAAAAAAAAAAAGGTTTGTTATTTCTGGGCTCCAGTGGCTCACACCTGTAATCCCAGGTTCAAAGCCAGCCTGGGCAAATAGTTCTTGAGATACTGTCTCGGAAAACACCTTCACAAAAAGAGGGCTGGTGGAGTGGCTCAAGGTGTAGGCCCTGAGTTCACTCCAGTACTGCAAAAAAATAAAAGGGCTGGCAGTGTGGCTCAAGTGGTAAGTGCCTGCCTGGAAAGCATGAGGCCCTGAGCTGAAACTCCAGTACCGCCAGAAAAGAAAGGAAAAAAAAAAAAAAGAGGGAGTGCTCATATCTCTCTTCCCTAACCCTCCCCCTCTCTGATTTTTGTGATACTAGGGATCCAAGCAGGGATCCCTCCTCATGCTAGGCAAGTGCTGTACTCCAGCCTTGCCAAGGCTGAGCCCACCCCAGCCTTGTTTTCTCTTTACTTCAGTCCCACAAGCTAGTAAGCCTTTTTGGAAAGTGTGCCCTTTTTTATTGAGAATAATATTCATCTCATATGGGGCTCAAATGCGGTGGCACCAACATCTACTTCCAGAGGCATTTGGATGTGTGACAGGAGTGATGTCAAATTTCTCATTTATTGTATTTTTCACTAAGTCATTGTTACTTGCAGGCACGATGACAATCACGTAATTGAAGAAGTATTGGTATTATGAAACAGGATTCTGTCCATATTTTATGTAAAATACTAATTAGTTTTGAAAGACATCCTAGTTTGTGTTCTGGCGTGTATTTGATCCTTTTGATGTGTCTTGTCCTGTACGGGATCTCACTATATTATTCAGGCTGGCCTCAGACTCTGGGATTAAGAACTGGGATTGCAGGTGTGTACCGCCGCGACCAGTTTATTTGGACCTTTAGTTTTAGAAAAATTAAGCAGCATTCCAACTGTGGACTTTTCACTTGGTTCTGGTTTGAGTTTGTTTCCTGTCACATAAGTAGGAGATTGAAAGTGGTAGAAAGTTTATTTTAGGCATCAGATACTCATTCTGCATTGGGTCACATAGCAAGTGTGGATCTCTGCAGGCTTGACAAGGGAGATTTTGCACATGGACTACTCCGTTTCTGTGCCAGCAGAAGGCCCTCAGGGAGCTCTCACTGCACTATTGCACAGCTTTCTGTCGTAACCTTTGTCTTGTGTTCTCATTGCATGTTCTACCCTTTGGCCTTCCTGTGGAATGACTTTTGCTCTTATAGGAGATGCTACAGGAGAAATTGTGTCATAAACGTTGCTTTCAGCAAGATTTTTCTCTTTGCCTTTAGCAAGATATATTTTACTTTCCCTTCCTTCATGAATCAAGTTTTATTTGGTTTGTAAATCATTTCCTCATTTTCTGTTTCCATTTCAGAGCCACTCAGTATACATGCATGTTGCTTAGGTATTTGTTAGAATCTAAACCTGGCAAAGACAAGGTGGTACTGAAGCTCAAGAAACTGGAGTCCAATGTGAGCACTGGCCGGAAATGTAAGTACCCGTCTCAAGGGACAGTGGCTCCTGGTTTAGAACCCTCAGCCTCAGACCCTGTCCCTCACAACATGCTGCCAAGGTCTTAATTTCCAGCCAGCCAAGATTATTGATGAAGTCAGCCAGTAAGGCCTCATGGAGTTACAGGCCCAAATGGCTAAATGTTTTGCTGCGAGCCATTCATAAACTCTCCTGTGTTCACCTTTGGTGCTCACCATATCCTAGTGGGACCCAGTGCATTAGTGCATCTTCAGTTCCTGCAATGACTTGGCAGTCCCCAGCATGAGCTTCTGGCTCCTGTGAGCCCTTTGGCTTCATAGAGAAACAGACTAGCTTTATCCCAGACCCTCTTTTTCCAGACTGGCTTTCTCCCATCTTCTCGTGAGGGTTGCTGCAGGGTGTGGATGGATGTGTTCTCTTAGACCACTTACAGAGTTCTTTCACGCGAAAGCTAAAAGTGAGGGCAGTGCTTCGTGTATGTATTCCTGAATACGCTTTCATGGTAAGTCATCTTGGGAAATCGTCCAGTGTCAAAGGAGTTGCACACCTAACTCATTGAGGACAGAAGCATGAAAATGGGGCTTAGAACATCCCACATTGACCGGTTGATTTTGAGTACCTGCTTCATAAAGGTACATTCCTTAGCTGGGATAGAGGAAAAGAAAGATGTTTTGGAGGAGGTGGAACCTGGGGTGTGGCTGGAGAGATGGAAGGAGCATTCTGGAAGGGTGGTTTCCTTTACCAAAGGCTCAGGACTGTTATAAGCAAACATTGAATTGGAGGATCAATGTCAAACTGAGAAACTAGTTTGATAGCTAAGTCTTGAGTTGTCAAGTGGAGGGTTGGGAAAGGTAAGCGAGCTTTTCTGTTGCCTTTGAAGGCTAAGATTAGAACTGTTGGCCCGTGTTCTTCGGAATGTTGTTGCTCAGAGGTCCTTTAGACTAGTGAACTCATGAGTCTTGAAAATCCATAAGGCAGATCCAAGGTCATCCCACCAGTTAGTGTAAGGCCAGAACCGGAACCTGGAATTCATGTGTTGAAGCAGGTGTTCTGTATACTGTTCTGCACTAGTTTTGGTAAAATAATGCTAGTACTCTTCTGAGATTGTAAGTGTTTGACAGCAGATGCTGTGGCACTTGCTGAACCCACAGTAGAGCACTTCCTTTGTGTCCTGTATGTGCTCGAGAAATACTTGTTGACCAATGGTCTCTAATTGATTAAGTTGTATGCCAGCACAAGGACACGCCATTTTGATGGCTGATTAATTCAACTCAGAGCTTCACATGAAAATTAGGTATCCTGTTCCCTACTTTGTCTTCTCAACAGTGGGTGGCCAAAGGAATTTGGACCAGAGAAAGGACAAAGTGATAATGATGATTTTTGGAAGGTTTTTTGGTGGTACTGGGTTTGAACTCAGGGCCTCAAGCTTGCTAGGCAGATGCTTCTACCACTGGAGCCACTCTACCAGCCCTAATGGTGGGTTTTGTTTTGTTTTGTTTTTAAGGCAGCCTTCTATCTGGAAAATAGATAATGTATGAGAATGGCACATTGGAGTTCATGTTATATGGATCCTTCCTTCTGAAGAAGGATAGGATTTGAGTATTACCATACTCAAATGTAGCAGTACACACAATTGATTAACCTTGCCTGGAGTATGCAAGTCAGTGTTAAGGTGCTCACTGAAATGAAGGAGATAAATCTTAGTGGTCACCATGTTTTGTGCCTTTCGGATCATTATAGGTGTCCTTAACATACTGTAAACTCCCTCTCCTTTCCTGAGCTCAGGCTGAGCCTCACGTGGCCATCAGGTGGTAAGACACCAGTGCTGGCTGGCTCTTCACCCTGACATGGGGGTTCTGCCCTCTCATCACAGACTAGCGGAATGACTGTTGACTGTGTGGGTTCTTGCAGGGTTCAGACTGGGCAACGTGGTCCATGCTGTCCAGGCAACTGAGCAGAGCATCCGCGCCAGTGACCCGGTGCCTCGCGTGTGCCTCACGCTAGCCAACCTGAACCGAGTGGTGTATTTCATCTGTGACACCATCATCTGGGCAAAGAGTGTGGGCCTCACCTCTGGCATCAACAAAGAGAAATGGCAAATGAGGGCCGCCCGCCACTACTACTATTTTCTTGTAATGAGCCTGATCAGGGATCTGTACGAAGTCTCCCTGCAGATGGGACGTGTTGCACACGACAGGGCAGAGAGAGAGAAGTCATCCCAGGACCCTGTGGGGTATCACGTGGTTGATGAGGAGACCGAGTGGCTACAGTCCTTGCTCCTGCTCCTGTTCCAGTCTCTCAGGCGGCATCCTCCGTTGCTCCTGGACACAGTGAAGAACTTCTGTGACATCCTGATCCCTTTGAACCAGCTGGGGATCTATAAGTCCAATGCTGGCATCATAGGACTGGGCGGTCTCGTGTCCTCTGTGGCAGGCATCATCACTGTGGTGTACCCTCAAATGAAACTGAAGATCCGCTAGGCTGCTGGAGGCCAAGGACCAGCACCTGCTTGAAAAATGACAGCTTAGCGGGACAGACATTTGTGTTTCTCACAGACCGTGTCACACTGTGCTTAGCAACTTGTAATGTGGACATAGATGGGGCTGAGAATGGAGTGTGAAGATTGATGCATGTTTTCTCATGTCAGTGACTTCTGGATTTCTGAATATTCTCCCTTCCTCTAACATGTACTGAGCTTCTCTTACATGCATAGTAAAGCCTCAGTGTTTGTTGAATGAAAAAGTTGGAAAAATACTCTGTCAAACTAATATGTTAACACTGCGATTCAGTGTGGCCGAGGTTGTGTGGATCCAGTTCATGGCACTGTCTGGTCTGATTGTGGCTCCCTTTTCCTCCCATCAGGTATTACTCCCCACCCCCATCCATAGCAGGATGGACAGGAGCCGGACTTACAGCCTCTGGCCATGACCGTCACTGCACCGGTGTACTTGCCGAATCCTGAAAGTAGACTCAGAAAAGCACCAGGCACCTTCGTGGTGTGAAGTGTGTCTTTCAGTAATGCTGTGAGTAAAAGTCAGGACTAGCTGAGGCAAAAGTAGGTGGAAGGTCACACGGTGCCTGTTAGGTAGACCTGGCAGGTGAGGAAATTGACCCTGGAAAACAAACAAACAAACAAGCAAGCTGAGATCAGAAGCTGCTCGTCCAGGTCCCTTCTGGGTGCTTTCCCTGGCGTGGTGTGGCCTTTGTAACTGAGTAGAATTACAGGGCTCCAGAATCTGCCTTTTGCCTCTTCTCTCCCCAAATTTAGGTCTTTTGTTAGCGGTTTTTATTCTATCCTTCAAAAATTAAAACTATATAGACTTGCCATCCAGATTGTTGTTATTTAAAGCCACATAGCAGTTTGGGCGATTCCACATTAATTTTCTTAAAAATTTATGCAGTTAAAAATTTCATGTCTCCTCTGTGAATGTAGGCAGGTCACAATTTTCTGTAATAAATGAGATTTCCTCGTTGGGTGACTGGGGGAGGTGGGATAAAGCAGTAAGGACCATTGAAGAGGATGTGGGAGTATTGACTCAGTGACATTTACTAAGTTCCCACTTCCCATCTTGCATATTGTGTGCTTTGGTTTGAGAGGCATGAGGTGGGGAGACCGATGCCAGCACAGAGGAGGCCAGTGTTGGCACTACCAGTAATGACATGCCACTTACGTGGATGCAGATGAGAACAGAAACGTGCACTGAATAAATTGTTCCCACAAACGTGACTGATTTTCAAATCCCTCCACTGTGAGCTTGATGGTGACCAATAAATTTCTAGACAAAATTGACTTGTGGCTGTGGCTATGGGCTGGGACTGTGATTGATGAGTCGTCCTACGTGGTGTAGACGGGGCTGGAGGGGTGGTGTAGACGGGGCTGGAGGGGTTTTACATGGCGCCTCTGAGGTGGGAGAATTCATCCGAGAAGCTGGTCCAGACCACTCCTCCCCTGCTGAGGTGCTCACAGCAGGCCTGGCCATCCTGGCTGGCTTCTACCTGGGAAGCTGCCTTGAGTTCTTGGAGGCTGGTGGCATTTGTCCTGTTACTTTTGCCCTCTGCAAGTTAGGGGGTGGTGGGGAGGTTGCAAAATGCCACGTCTTCTACTAGAGTTTGTGGAAACCTTCATGGTGCCCTGCTCCCTCCTCTCAGCAAAGCCTCCCCACTCCCAAGCCTCCACATGCATAGGGAACTCCAAAAACCAAAGATAGATGTACAGGCCAGTGCATTCACAATCTAACATTGTTAGCTGAGAATTTATTCAACAAGTGCCATGCTCGGTTTGAGGGGTCCACTTGGGAACAAGGTAATCCAGGTCCCTGCTCTCATGTGGAGGGAGGGGAGCATGGAAGGAAGAAAGAACTCCATGCCCTCTGAGTGCTGCTGGAGATCAGGCGCTTCCCTCCTCCCTTGGGATTTCCTTGGCCCTTTCACCACTTCTTACCTTTCACCCACATTCTAGAATCCCTGCTGGAAAGACCAAAGGGCCAGCTTTGTCAGCAGTGCTTTTAGGCATGGAGCCCTTTACTCCCCCTGGCCCAAAGCCACTACTACTGAGAATGCAGACTGCCCTTTGGCCAGGGTTGTCCCAACTCTTCCCTGAACACCAGGGGAGGGCAGAAGCTACTTCTTTGTACACCTCCTTTCCTCTGCATTACTGTCTTAGAGTTTAAAAGCCCAAACAGTTATCACTTCTATTGGAAGATACTGCTTGCCTCCTCTCCTGACCTCAGTCCCTACTTTATTATATCACAGATGCAGACTTGTGAGCAGGGACGTGGCTCGAGTGGTAGTACCTACCTAGCAGGTGTGAAGTCCTGAGTGCAAATCCCAGTACTGCCACCCCCCCATAGATCCTTTATTACCAAGAATTTATTTGATCTGTTTCTCCCCTCCCAGTGCCCTATTACTCTGTTGCCCACGGTAGACAACCTAGCAGAGGGTCCACAATCTATGTCATTCTGTCAGCACCAAGGAGCATAAGCGGTGCCCTGTTATCTTTTTTAATTAAGGGACCCTTCTCAGACAATCTGAAGACCCTGGCTTGCACCACCATCCTCCCATTTGAAGCAGGAATGTCATTACACTCACTTCTCCAGACGTAGAACAAAGCCCATGGCCTCTCCCACTGCCTCTGCTGCTGCTATGGTAGGCCAGGTAAAGGTCAACGTTTTCTCAAACTAGGAACTCAGCGAGGTTCAAATGGCTCTCTTAAAGTCCTGATCGTCAAGACCCCCACACCCCAACTCTGTTTCAAGTCCTTTGAGGCCAATTTATCACCATAATCAATGACTAATACATTCAGGTGGACCCTGACCTTACGTGGGTTTAAATCATACTAGCAATGCTCACTCTTGCAGTAAATAAGAAGTAATGGGAGAAATGGTTGAAAGCTGTTTCTATGGAACCCTCTGGGGAAAGGGACCAAAGATTACAGAATTACTTTTCTTTTTCAGCACTGGGGATTGAACCCAGGGCCTCATGTATGCTAGGCAAGAGGTCTACCTCTTGAGCCATACCATCACCCAAGATGACAGAATTAAGTTAGATTGTAGAGCTTATGAGTTTAATATCTCAATATCTTTATTATTAATTTTTGATGGTGCTTGGGTTTGAACTTGGTCTCGTGCTTGTTAAGCAGGCTCTATCACTGGAGCCACTCTGCCGGTTCTCAGTGTCTTCTTTGTGGAAAGCAAATTTTTGCCATTTGAGAGTCAGAAGTATAGAACTGAGGTGTCATGGCTCTGGAATAATAAACCCTCTGCACCTGGATCTGCTTCAGCTCCATGTTGTATGTCTTCACTGGCTAAATGTCCTTATAGAAGCTAGGATGAGCCCAGGGGACCCAGATAACCATGGCAACTGACTGCCTCAGCTCTGTCTTCCCTCTGCCCTCCTCTAGCTGGGAGGCCTGGGAAGCATTGCCCAAGACTCCCTGCAGTGGGTGAAGTCTGGGCTTAGGAGGAGACGCTCTGCAGCCTGGGCTTTCAGACTGAGGCGGCCGTCAGCTGCAGTGAGTGGGGGGTCGTGGGCTGTCTGCTTTACCTGGCTTGTTTGTGAGAGAAGGAGGTGAGGGTAAGGGCCTTTTGGGAATTTTACTGAGGCTGGAGAGACTTGCAGGGAAATATTCAAGGTGAAAGACCAGAAGTGCAGAGTAGCCATTCTGGGACCACTAGATTTTCCAGAACACAGATGAAATAGCTACTGTTTTACCAGCGATGGCTTTCCTGACTGAGCATAGAGAGAAGACATAGATAGCTTAGAAATGGAGGGAATTCCCACAGCTTTGTCGTAAAAGCATATTCAACCTGAAACTCATTCTTTTAGTCTCTTTTGGACCTTCATTTAAGAGCCCAGAGACGTAATCTAAAACCTTTTTATCTCTTATGGCTATGTGCATTTTTCATTTGTCTTGAATGCTTACAAGAAATGTCAGTCTTGACCAGTAGTAGGCTATAGAGTAACTCATAGCCAGAGGACTCTAAGATTTGGCTCATGTGTGTGACATTAGCCCTTCAACTTCAAGCCTTCTGCTGGGCTCCCAGCTCTCAAGCAGCCCGGGCTGGGTGGGCAGCCATGAGAGGTGGGAATTGACCCTGTGGATTGCAGGCCTGCAGGCTTCTGGTGACCTGGGGATCTGCTTTGCAGCGTGAAGATCTAGGATGGCAGTGAACAAGGGCCCAGCCTTGCTGGATGGAGACCTCCCTGTAAGTAACCCGGCTCATGTGAGATGGGATGGACAACTGAGGGAGGCAGAAGGACAGGGAGGGGCATTTAGGGAACTTCTAGCAAAATGTGTCTACACCATGATCCTAGTATATTGACTCTGACTCAGTTATTCCTGCCCTCTCTACTTTTTTTGTTTTGGCGGGACTGGAGTTTGAACTCAGCTTTGCACTTGCAAAGCAGGCGCTCTACCGCTTGAGCCAAACCTCCAGTCCATTTTGCTCTGGTTATTTTGGAGCTGGGGTCTCCCAAACTATTTGTCCTGACTGGCCTCAAACCATGATCCTCCTGGTCTCAGCAACCCAAGTAGCTAGAATTACAGACGTGAGCCACCAGAGTCTGGCTCCCTCATTACTTATGCAGGTGGTGGTTGGGGGATCTGGGAAAAAGAAACTAAGCACCTTGGAGAAAAAGGACAGAAATACTGATTGGGAGCTAAGGAGGACAGAAAGGAAGGGAACCCGGATTTAAGAGTCCACCGCTCAGTGGAAAGTATAGTTCATGCAGAGCCCTGCTAGCTGTGACTCTGGCGAGTCCATACTGTGAGTGGCACCTTTCTGGTGCCACAGCCTGGGCTGCTGTGTGTGGGAATGAGTTGGTGTTTATCTCTGACCTGGTTTTCACTGTGACTTGGAGTGATTTTGATACTTTTGGGTGTACTTGGTGCCTCTCGCCAAGGTCTCCCTGATTTGGGCACAGTTCAAATAGTAAAACTTAAAAATTATGAACCCATAGGACAACTATCTTGTCTCAAAGTAAGCTTTAACTAACCTTTGCACTCAGGATCACTGTGCCCAGTTTTGTATTAAATCATAGTGCCCAGAGAGGCATAGAATGTTCACAGGTGTAGCGAGCCTCCCCAACAGATGGAGGCTTCTTACTTTCCCTGCCTCTCTTTCTTTTTGGTTGTGTCCAAGACAACTTTTGAAGGCTCTGTCCAAAATGCTAGAATAATCTTAATCTTAATCTTGTTCTAGCACCAATTTCTAGCTCGCCTGCAGAATGAAAAGCTAAATATTGTGGTTGTGGCCTGATCTGTCCAGTATCTGAGTCTCCTTGGTGGCTCTTCTAACTCGGCCTCCTACAAACAGGGCAGGCTAGGCCCTCACCTCCAGGGTGGAACCTGGCCACAGAGCTGCATTCAAAGCTATCCAGAGCTCAATCGTCTAAGCCAGACCTGGGAAATTGTCTCATACGACTTTTTATGTGAACAATTCTAGGCAGAAGAACATAAGGTCTAGCGCCAACAACCATGAATCCATGACCAATCTGTGTCACCCTCACCCCCACCAGTGCCCTACCTTGTGTTATTTGGAAGCAGTCCCAGATACGCCATTCCAACCTGACTTGGAAACCTGGCTGTGCGTGTTCTTGCGAGTCACTTCTCCCCTCTGAGTCTCAGTCTTTTCATTTGCACAGTGAGGTGACAATGCTGATTCTGAGGGTCTCCAGTAGCAGTAAATGAAGTCATGTCATCCAGGCACCTAGACCTGTGCCTGGAGCATAAAGGTGCCTGATAAACATTGCTTCCCTCTGCACAAGTAGAGGCCACTCTTTTACTCAAGAACCAGACTTTTCCCACTAAAGTTCCTAAACGATGTAAAGTTGACGTGACCACTGTGAAAGCTAAATGCTTTAATAGAAGCACAGCACCCCAAAAAGAAGGGATGATTTCACTGTACCCCAAATACTCAGACTGACCAGGAGCATGGTCTTCAAATCTGAGCTATGTTTTTAAGAAAGATTGGGCTGGGTGCCAGTGGCTCATGCCTATAATCCTAGCTACTCAGGAGGCAGAGATCAGGAGGATCCAGGTTTGAATCCAGCCCGGGCAAATAGATCATGAGACCCTATCTCAAAAAAAACCCTTCACAAAAAAGGACTGGTGGAGTGGCTGAACGTGTAGGCCTTGAGTTCAAGCCCCAGTACCGCACAAAAAAAAAAAAAGGAAAAAGAAAGGTTGGGCTGACTGGGTGTGGGTGGCTTATGCCTGTAATCCTAGCTACTCAGGAGACAGAGATCAGGAGGATTGAGGTGTGAACCAGTCTGGGCAAATAGTTTGTGAGAACCTATCTCAAAAATACCCAACACAAAACACAGCTGGTTATGTGGCTCAAGTGGTAGAGTGCCTACCTAGTAAGTGTGAGGCCCTGAGTTCAAACCCCAGTCCTGCTGAAAGAAAGAAAGAAAGAAAGGAAAGAATAGAAAGAAAGATTCCGGGGCTGGCAGAGTGGCTCAAGTTCAAGCCCTAGTACACCCCACCCCTGCAAAAAAACAAAGGGAATGTCAAACTATAGCCTTCCAGAGGAGGGGGCCACTAGACCTCAGTGTGAACCATTTATAAACTAAGTCAGGAACTGGAGCTATGTTGAGTGGAGAAGGAAATTCTAGGGGAGACATATTTGACTTTAAAGATGAGAAGGCCCAATCCATGAATGGTGAAATAGACTTGTTCTAGGTTGTTCCAGAGCAGAGTAGGCCGGGGTGGAGGCAGACTTCACCTCAGTAAAGCTGCCCATCAAGGAACCCAGGCCCTCTATGAGGGGACAGTCCCATCCAAGGAGACATCGAAACACAAGTCTAGCGGAGATGTCTGCATAGGACTCTCGCTACAGAGCCCTCCCTGGAGGCCAAGATTCTGCGGTTCCGTGCACTTGGGCAGATCTAAACTTACACATTCTACATTTCTCCAGCTAACTTTCCCCGGGGCAGGGTTGGGCACTGGGACACAAAGACAGCAGTCTCCTGGGAGAAAGGATTAACACGCATAATGACAGCACAGTGTGATAGGTGAAGAGACAGTCCCGGGAAAGACACGGTGGCTTCTGATTCGAGGGAGGAGAGTCACGAAGCGTCAAGAGGGACTGATGGGGAGGATGTTGTATTCCACCTGGCAGAGAGGGGCATGAGAGGGAAGGTGACCTAGTTGGCAGGGGACCAGCACCTACAGAGAGTGGCTCAGAAAGACCAGGGGGATGTTTAGAAGAGGCCACCATTGAGAGGTGGACCAAAACTCCAGACAGGTCTGTGAAGAACTTGCTCTCTACCAGCAAGTCTACAAAGGGTGTTCTGGGAGGAGGATGGGATGGCTTGGTCCCTGGGGAGCAGTGATTGCCTCAGTACCACTCCAAAGCCTGAGTTGTGACCAGGAGGGCGTGGCAGGCTCGCTCTCCCGGTTCCCAGAGACATCTTTGGCCTTCGTCCCTTCCAGATCACCCGGACTCAGGCTAGCCTCACCAATGAGTGGCACATTCCCTGAGGCTGGGGTGGGCGTGGGGTAACCTGAGTGTGTTCCTTCATTGACAGGAGCAGGAGAACGTGTTGCTCCGGGTCCTGCAGCTGCCCGTGGTGAGCGGCACCTGTGAGTGCTTCCAGAAGACCTACACCAGCACCAAGGAAGCCCACCCCCTGGTGGCCTCCGTGTGCAATGCCTACGAGAAGGGTGTGCAGGGTGCCAGCAGCCTGGCTGCCTGGAGCATGGAGCCAGTGGTCCGCAGGCTGTCCACCCAGTGTGAGTTCAGGCACTTAGCAGCTGCCCGTCTGTCCCCTGATGCTTACTGCCCTTCTGTCTGTCTGCCTGTCCTCTATCAATATAAAACTTTAGGTGCAGATGTTTGCCTATACATACGCCTCAGCTCTAGTCCTGCTAGCATTTGCCTAGGATGCCAATGATGGGGCATAGAATTTGTAGGGGAAAGAGTGGCAGAGCTATGTGGGCGGTGGTGAGAGTGGGGCCAGTGCAGACCAGACGCCCACCCTAGCAGCAGCAGCAGCAGCGAGTACCAGCAGAGTGTGGCACCGAGGCAAAGGCAGTGGGCAAGAGGCTGGCAGTGCTGGAGGGTGGGAAGGGAGAAGGGAAGGGGCACCAGGCCCAACTTCTGTCCAACTGCTGGTGATACCAGCTCACGACAGGAGGGGGCAGCAGAGAGCTGCCATCCAGGCAGTGCCCTTGCCCCCTGCACTGTTCTGCTCCATGGGAAAATAAGGTCTCTAAGGCAGGGCTCCTAACAGGGCTGAGAAGTCCAGCACCTTCCACCATCCTAAGCTGAGATGTGTGGGATCTGAGGATTCCACCCAGTGAACAGGAGCAGACAGATACAAAGGCCTCTCTCCTGCAAACTCCTTAAGTACTTGTCCTGAGTGAGGCTCAGTCTCCCCAGTCAGAAGACAGCTGAGCCAGGCTCTCCTATGCTTGAAAGAATAAATGAAAGGATTTCTGTAAGTGTTTTTTAAAACCGTGATCTCCATGACTGTGACCTCAGAGCTATGTCCTTAGCAGCCCCTAAACAGTATCCCCTAAAGCATTTGCATCCCCTGGGATGACTCTTCGTTCTCCCCCGCCCCCCCCCCCGCCGTGACCCCCTTCCTATGTCAGCTCTCAGCTTCTAGTGGTTAAAAGCTGGGGGCTACAGACAATCTGGAGCCTGCACGGCTGAGACTGGGGTGTGTCACTAGGTCTAAGCAGGCCTGGTCCTGGCCCCTTCTCTCCCCAAAGGCCAACACCATACCAAGGCTGCCACCCACCTCCACCGACACCTGTGTTCTCCTCTTCCTCATGCTCACCCCAGCGCGGGAGCAGGTAGGGGGTGGGGGGAGGATTGGAGAGAGCAGTGGTTCTTGGCAATTCGTAGTTTCCATCATGTCCTCCCACAATGACCCTGCAATGCGCCATGAATCGACGTTTTATAGAAGAGGAAGCTGAGGTTCGGACAGGTGTAACTTTCCTGAAGTCACATGCTGTGCAGAAGCTGAAGCTGGGCTTTGAGGGCAAGTCTGACAAACCCTAAAATGACCCTGGCCTCAAGGAGTCCCAGTGGATGGAGGCTAACCATGGCAAAGGCCCTCAGGTCCTCCAATGCCTGGGAGGCAGCATTTGAGGGCCCAAAGGTCCAAGCCACTGCTAGGGCCTAAAGTTGGGTGCAGGGCTCGCCCCAACATGGACCTTCCCTTCCAGTCACAGCTGCCAATGAACTGGCATGCCGAGGCCTGGACCACCTGGAGGAAAAGATCCCAGCCCTCCAGTACCCTCCTGAAAAGGTGAGCTCCCCACGCTGGCACCATGGCCTCTGAGGAAGGAAAGCAGTTGATGATATGACTGAGTCTTCCTGTTTTCCTGTGGCAAGTGCCCCAAAGGCTTGTGGAGGCCACCTTCCCCTAAGGCAGCCCACCAGGCTCCTCCTCTCCCAGTGCAGACAGATGGGAGTAGGGTTTCTAGGCCAGCAGGCCCAAGCCTGGGGGCCACTTGGGGTGGATCTCTTTGTCTCCTGAGACTGGAGTCCCGGGAGCTGGGCCTCTGTGGGTTTGAACTGGACTATCAGGTGATTACAAGCAGCTAAGATCGTGGGTTCCACTCATGTCCCAGGATTCTGGTCTCACGTCCCTGACATCCAACCCTTTGCAGAATGTGAGACCAAGCACCTGGCCACGTGGTGGCTCTGCTAAGGCCACCTTAGGTGTTTTGAGGGGAGAAAGCTTCAGTCTCTGACCTCAGCCATTTCACTGACTGTAAACATTCCCATAAACATTTCCTGAGCCCTGTCCTGGCCAGGGACATGGCCTGTACTCCATGAGGCCCTCTCACTTAATCCTCTTGCCACCCTCTGGGATAGGGCTTATTACCCCATTGTGCGGGTGAGAAAAGTAGAGGTTTTCCCTGGCCACACAGCCTGGAGTGGAGACCACAGAGAGCAGGGCTGTTTGGGCCTTCACTCCCCAGTGCTCCCTACTCTGGGTTTTCCAGGTAAAAGGCAACATGTCTTTATCACAAAGGAGCCCCCAAGCTACAGAGGAGGAAGGCAAATCCTTTCAGTGTAGAACTTACAGGAAAAATGACCACATCCATAGCCTACGTAAGTGCAGATGGGAATGTCTGCAGCGTTCTAAGGGAAGGACACAGGAAACCGGACAGGAATTTGGAAGAGGAAGTGCTTCGTGTGCAGAGGGTATCAGGACAGGTGCCATCCAGGGGGTGCTTTGGTGCTGTCCTCACAGGTTGGGCAGGATCACGGCAGGTAGTGCCGGGGTATGAAGTCAGGAGATCCAGGTGTCTGGGACGGGGAGGGCTGAGCCCTTTCCCTTTCCATTCCAGCTTAATCCAGGTGCCCAGTGTGGATGCCAGTCTGCTAGGCCTTTTAATGAGACCCACGTCACTGCCCCTCTCCCCCAATTCCCCCAGATCGCCTCTGAGCTGAAGGACACCATCTCCACCCGCCTCCGCAGTGCCAGAAACAGCATCAGCGTGCCCATTGCAAGCACTTCAGACAAGGTCCTGGGGGCCACTCTGGCCGGCTGTGAACTCGCCTGGGGGGTGGTCAAGGACACCGCGGAGTACGCAGCCAACACCAGAGCTGGCCGGCTGGCCTCTGGAGGGGCTGACCTGGCCTTAGGCGGCATTGAGAAGGTGGCAGAGCTCCTCCTCCCTCCCGCCAAGGAAGAGACAGGTACTTGCCATTAAGGCCCACTGACTCCCCAGGGGAGTACCCTGGGAACCAGGAAGAGGTGGCAAGGCTTTTTGGCCACCACTCTGGGACAGGGAAGGCCCAGTGTGAGTCTTCAGAGGAACCCATATTCCTTCAGTCCTCTCACCCCACCTATAAAGAAGGGGAGCGAGTGTGCTTATCACCATGGCTTTGTGGTGGATTGAGGATGACAGCTTTCCAGCCCAAGATACCCCACCACTTTCTCAGCCCCTCTCTGATCTGTTTTCTCTCCTTTTCCCCCAAATCCCCACTCAGCCCCTGCTGCTGGGTGTCAGCAGGCCCAGAAGGCCCCCAAGACCAAGCCAAGTCTCTCGAGCAGAATTGGGGCCCTGGCCAACACCCTCTCAAGACACACCATGCAGACCACAGCCTGGGCGCTGAAGCAGGGCCATGCCCTGGCCATGTGGGTTCCGGGTGTGGCACCCATGGTGAGTGTCAACCCTGAGTTCTGCCTGACCCTCTGTCCGGGATCCCTATGGGCCTCCTGGTCTCTTCTGTCCACGTAACATTCTCTATTCCATCTGGTCCGGGACTTTGGGTGTCCAGAACAACATTAAAGCATGAAGGTTGAAGCCGGGTGCTAGTGGCTTACACCTGTAATCCTACTTGGGAGGCTGAAATCGGGAGGATCGTGGTTCAAGGCCAGCCCAGACAAATAGTTTGAGAGCCCTCATCTCCAAAATAACCAGAACAGCTGGGTGCTGGTGGCTCATGTCAGTAATCCTGTCTACTCAGGAGACAGAGATCAGGAGGATCAAGGATTGAAGCCAACCCAGGCACATAGTTTGAGAGCCCCTGTCTCGAAAAAACTCATCACAAAAACAGAAGCTGGTAGAGTGGCTCAAGGTGTAGGCCCTGAGTTCAAACTCCAGCACTGCAAAAAACAAATAATAATAATAAATAAATAACCAGAACAAAATGAACTGGAGGTTTGGCTCAAGTGGTAGAGTGCCTGGTTTGCAAGCATGAAACTTTGAGTTCAAATCCCAGTACCACCAAAAAAAAAAAAGGATGAAGATCGGGCTGGGGGTGTAGCTCAGTGGCAGAACCTACTGTGTGCCAGGTGCTGTGGCCATAGGAATACAGGAGTGGTGGTCTCCCTCTGTTCCCTACACCAGGAGTCATTTACCAGTGTGGGCCCAGCCTGGTGTGGGCAGAACCTCAGCCACCTCCCATTAACATAGAACGGTGTACCCAGAAGCTGTACAGCAAGGAGGCCCTGCTTGTGCAATGACATGTGGGACATGGAGGTGCATGCCTATAATCCCAGCTACTTGGGAGGCTGAGGCAGAAGGATCTTAAGTTCCAGACTAGCCTGGGCCATGTAGTGAGGCCCTGTCTCAGCAAACAAACAAACAGTACAGGAGATCCTGGGGGTGTGGAAAATGGTCTTTATCTTGTAGTTACACAAGGGTATAGTCACAAAAATTCATAGAGCGGTGGCCTAAATATGTGTGTCCTTCAGTGTTGTAAATTAACACTGAATAAAAAGTATTAAGAAAAGTCTGCAGGGCCAGGCCTGCTTTGGGGGCAAGGGCCATGGCTGCTGGGCTCCATGCTGGGTTGTCACAGGGCTGCTAAGCCAGCGGTCTGCTGCCATCCCTCCCTCAGAGCAGCCTAGCCCAGTGGGGTGCATCAGCAGCCATGCAGGTGGTGTCTAGGCGGAAGAGCGAGGTGCGGGTGCCCTGGCTGTACAACCTGGTGGCTTCCCAGGAGGAGGACCATGATGACCAGACAGACACAGAGGGAGAAGAGATGGAGGAAGAAGAAGGCTCGGACATCGAGGAGAACAAGCTCAGTGAGGTGAGTGAGCAAGCAGAAGCCTCAGCGCCCACAGCCCACGGTGGTGGTGGTGGGGAGGGAGAGGAGAAACAGAGGCCTAGGGTGCAATAAGGTCTCTGTCCCCATCCCTGGGACTTGGTACTTGCCCCAAACCCACAGCAGATGAAGTCACTCTCAGCCGACTTCCTAAATAGGCAGGAGAGATTATTGTCCTGATTTGTAGATGAAGAAACTTGGGTCCAGAAAGAGGAAGTGACTTGCCCAAGGCTACACAGTCAGTGGCAGAGCCAGGCTTAAAGTTTTTCCAGATGGGTGTCCACTTGCTTTTCCCTCTCACTCTGGGGCTACTGGGGTCGTTAAAGAACTGCTGACTCTGTCTGGCCCTCAGGTAGCAGCCCTGCCCAGCCCGCAAGGCCTTCTGGGTGGCGTGGCACACACCCTACAGAAGACACTCCAGACCACCATCTCGGCCGTGACATGGGCACCTGCAGCTGTGCTGGACACAGCAGGGAGGATATTGCACCTCACACCAGCCAGGGCTGTCTCTTCCACCAAGGCCAGGGCCATGTCCCTGTCAGATGCCCTGAAGGGTGTTACTGACAACGTGGTGGACACAGTGGTGCACTATGTGCCGGTGAGTCCCACCCTGGGGGCAGCCTCCCTTCTCCCAAAGGGGCCTGGGCAGGTTTGATGGAAGGGACTGCAGCGCCCCCCTGCTTTTCCGTAGCCCCTCGACACCCTTCTCCCACCCCAGAAACAATTTCACATCCTGGGTCCTCTTCCCTGCACCCCTGCCCACCTGTACAGGACTCCTAGTCTCAGTCTGGGGGTCCCCCACAGCTCAGCCCTCACCCCTCAGGTCCCAGCTGAAGGATTTGACAGGTTAGCACACAGCTGCTTGGGTGAAGTTGGAGGGAGGCTTCCGGGGAACCAAGAGGGGACAGCATCTGGTCCCATCCCAATTCTATCACCTATCACCAACTGAAAAACCCAAGGGACACCAATGTCATCTCTTTGGGAGCCCCTAGGCCCCTTCCCAGAGCAAGTTTCAGGTTGAGCAGGGCAGAAGAGGCCCTGAAAGCCTGCCAGGTCATTTTGTCACTCCCAGCAAGGGGCGTTGGGGGGCGAGGTTTGGCAGGCAGCTTGTTCACTTTGGGCCCCAAACATACCCAGGTAAGGGTGCCTTGACCCTGGCTTGGCCAAACGTGGGCCTCACTGCTTACAGCTCTAGCCAAGGCAGGGTTAGGGAAGTAGCTGAGGATGGCTAGGGGTGTGACAACACTGGAAGACAAAGCTTGCCTTGTCCAGGAGTTCCACCCAGGGGAGCCATCAGACTTGTCAGGAACTAAGGCACCCCCTCGATGTCCCCCATCCTGCGGCCCCACACCGCAGCCTGTGCCATCCACTGGCCACCCCGGGAGGATTAGGACCCGCATGGCGCACTGGGTCCTCGTGGGCCCAGCGGGAACCCTAACTGCGGGCCCTCAGCTCCCCAGGCTGTCGCTGATGGAGCCGGAGAGCGAATTCCGGGACATCGACAACCCTCCGGCCGAGGTCGAGCGCAAGGGGTCCCGGCCCGCCAGCCCCGAGCCCGCGCCGCGCCCCGCGCCGCCCCGCGCCGGC